ACACATAACATCTAATAAAATATTATTTTTATCCAACAACTCATCCACCACGTCTAATAAAATATTATTTTTATCCAACAACTCATCCACCACGTCTAATAAAATATTATTTTTATCCAACAACTCATCCACCACGTCTAATAAAATATTATTTTTATCCAACAACTCATCCACCACATCCACCATATTAATAAAATATTATTTTCATCCAACAACTTATTCATCACATCTAATAAAATATTATTTTCATCCACAACATCACTCAACTCATCTCACTTCATCATTTCAAATCACTCACATCATCCAATAAGACGGTGACAACTCATCACATCTCATTAATATTTTATTTCCACTCATTTTCTCCCAAAAAGCTAGGAAAACAATTTCCTTAAGTGTGTGTCACATCATCTAATAATATAATGACAACTCATCTCATATAATCTATTTTCTTATTTTTAAGAATAATCCAAACAAAAGAAAACAACCTATTACAAGAAATAGGTTTCTTATAATTCATTTCCTTATTTTTTTCGCCAACCAAACAAAATCAAAACAAGTTTTCTTAAAAAATCACTCACATTATCCTATAATAATGTGACAACTCATCTCATCTCCATTTCTTTTTTTTTTTTACCAAACCAAACACTCCCAAACCGACCCTAAAGTGCAAACAAGAGGAAACCATAGGGCACTATTTATAGGCCTCTAAGGTCAGCTCAAGAGTCACTAACAATTAATGTGACTGTTACAATTCTTAATGACAATTAAGATTGTAACATCAATGCATTAAGTTGCTTTTAATGTTGTTGTAACTGCTGCATGCAGTAACTCCTGAATACGAGGCAATCAGTGGATGCGTTGCTACGAAACGCGAGGGTCATGTCTCAGCAAATCAGACGAACCTCGTTTGACAAACGAACGTCGTTAAACAGGCGAACCTCGTATGACAGACGAACCTCGTCGAACGAACGAACATCGTCAAACAGGCGAACCTCGTATGATAGATGAACCTCGTCGAACGAGCGAACCTTGTCAAACTACGAGAATGCTAGGGTCACCCTCGTGCGAATACGTAGCTCGTTTGCATGCTGCGAGGCAACCTTCGAAGTGTGCCTAACAAAGCGCCACTTAACGCCTCAGCCCGATTAGCCCCGATCCCCGGCCCATTGACCCGCGGCCCACGGCCCACGACCCACGACCCATGACCCACTAGAACTTATGAGGGATTAATTTAACTAAAACATTTCTCGGCTTGCCAATGCAAGCCTCGAACAAGAAACCTTTTGAAAAACCAAAACATAAACTTTCCACTAGACTACTAAGCATTTATGAAAAGTACTTGTAGTTAATATATATATAGTTTGAAAACTCATTTTAGAAAATAGTTTTGACCAAAAAATCCAACAATATGGTATATTTAATGATAATTTCAACTAACATTAAGAGTTAAAATGTTCTAAAACCAGCTTATGAATGTCACATGATAAAATTCCAAAAAAAAACCCACATCTGAATAACAGAATCTTAAATCGTAACTTCAAAAAATATTAGAGCATATGCCAAAACCAAGTGATGATGATTAAGGATTATAATCGGATAATACAAAAGTAATACTTACTCCTATAATTTATTTTCTTCGAACAAGTAAAGATCAGACTCAGGGATAACACTTGACAGATCAGAGTGAAATATTTGTTCTATATTCTTAACACGTACAGTACATATCAGAGTTAGAATTGTTAGACCTTATTACAAGGCTAATTAGCACTTAAATACCCAATACTTCCCGGTAATTTACACTTATATGTCTTAAGAGTGTTTGTCAAACACTTAAAATTAGAACAGGTGCCCTAGTTTTGGGTCTTTTTTAATTGGCAAAAACTGGTAGAGTTCTAGCCCAGTTTTAATTTGTTACGTCAAAAATAAGGCCTAAAACTAGTTCTTTTTTGAACCTCTCCTCCTTTGGTTCAAAAAAGTATTATTTTACCTCAAAACTGGGTTAGGATTAGTCCTGACCTAGTTTTGAGGTGTTTGCCAAACACACCTTAAAGTTTTTAAAATCTATACTTTAACACCTTGTGCTATGCAAACGTGAGAAACCCCCACCCTCAACGCACGCGGACAAAATTTTCCAATGTGTTACTCACAGGCTAAATTTATAACTTTCCAGCCTTAATGCTTGTTGAATTTACTTCAATCCGTCGTAATTATATTCTACAATATAATTAGGGTGGGTTTAAGGTAAGCATTGTGGTATGCTTAATGATAATTTCAACTAACATCAAGAGTTCAAATGTTGTAAAACCAACTTACGAACGTCACGTTATAAAACGCGACTTTCGAAAACATTAGAGCACACGGCCAAAAACCAAGCGACGACAATGTTAAGGGCTTGCTTGGTTATTTCCTAAAAACCAAGAAATAAAAATGAAAATAAAAAAAAACTCAAAAAAGTACAATTTCATCCATTTCCATCCCTAAAACTCACACATAACATCTAATAAAATATTATTTTTATCCAACAACTCATCCACCACGTCTAATAAAATATTATTTTTATCCAACAACTCATCCACCACGTCTAATAAAATATTATTTTTATCCAACAACTCATCCACCACGTCTAATAAAATATTATTTTTATCCAACAACTCATCCACCACATCCACCATATTAATAAAATATTATTTTCATCCAACAACTTATTCATCACATCTAATAAAATATTATTTTCATCCACAACATCACTCAACTCATCTCACTTCATCATTTCAAATCACTCACATCATCCAATAAGACGGTGACAACTCATCACATCTCATTAATATTTTATTTCCACTCATTTTCTCCCAAAAAGCTAGGAAAACAATTTCCTTAAGTGTGTGTCACATCATCTAATAATATAATGACAACTCATCTCATATAATCTATTTTCTTATTTTTAAGAATAATCCAAACAAAAGAAAACAACCTATTACAAGAAATAGGTTTCTTATAATTCATTTCCTTATTTTTTTCGCCAACCAAACAAAATCAAAACAAGTTTTCTTAAAAAATCACTCACATTATCCTATAATAATGTGACAACTCATCTCATCTCCATTTCTTTTTTTTTTTTACCAAACCAAACACTCCCAAACCGACCCTAAAGTGCAAACAAGAGGAAACCATAGGGCACTATTTATAGGCCTCTAAGGTCAGCTCAAGAGTCACTAACAATTAATGTGACTGTTACAATTCTTAATGACAATTAAGATTGTAACATCAATGCATTAAATCCTTATCTTATCTCCACCATTTTTATTTTTATTTTTTGGTGTTTGAAAGAGGAAATACCTCACATCCTATCTACGTATTTTTCTTATTCCGTATTTGTAATTGAGAAACATGCGAATGCAATATTTTACTATCACTACAAGTCGAACAGGGCGGCGGCCGAGGAGATGAAGAAGAAGACGGCGTTGCCTTTCAACAGGCACGGGTTTTTTGGGTGTTTGAGCTTTAATCCCGCTGTTAATGGCGTTGCCAAGAGTTTCCACGATAGCTGCTCATCTTTTGACCGTCGGCGATAAAGTTATGAAGCTAGCTATAGGAGTCAATTGACGTCCGAAATTTGTTTGTTCTTGCACTACAAGTCGAACAGGGCGGCGGCCGAGGAGATGAAGAAGAAGACGGCGTTGCCTTTCAACAGGCACGGGTTTTTTGGGTGTTTGAGCTTTAATCCCGCTGTTAATGGCGTTGCCAAGAGTTTCCACGATAGCTGCTCATCTTTTGACCGTCGGCGATAAAGTTATGAAGCTAGCTATAGGAGTCAATTGACGTCCGAAATTTGTTTGTTCTTGCTGCTGGATCCGCAAACTGTACAATATGTTTCATACAAGAGGAGTCGGATGACTCGGGTGTTTGTTTCGGTTGTATTTATTCTTAATTTAAAACAATTTTCTGTTTATTTTCAGTTCAAACTCGTGAGGTTGCTTGTTTCGTTGGCTACGCTCTTATTGCGTTTTATTTTATTTTTGTTTTATTATTCTGACGGCTCTTTTCACAGGGATTTGGATCCTCTCCACTACAAAAAAGTAATGGAGAGACCACTACTTTTAATCTCAAGCATTGATTATTTAGTAGATGGTTATGATACAATCTAAATCTAACACTTACCATACCCCCGTGTATTGCACTCATTCCTAATTTGCACTAAAAGAAAAAATCATAACCATCAACTAGATAATCAATGGCTGTGATTAGAAAAAATCATAACCATCAACTAGATAATCAATGGCTGTGATTATGTAGTGGTCCCTCCACTATTTTTTGTGTAGTGGAAAGGATCCAAATCCGAATGTCATGGCTACTCTTCTCCTTAGAATTTTGCCTGAAATTAATGTTCCCAGTAAGACTACTACGTTTCACTGAAAATTCAGAAAACTTGTAACATAAAGTTCAGAAGGTTGCAATAAGAGAGTGTACATTCTCATCTTCTGTTTATGAAGGTAATTTTCGTGCTGCTTTTCATAATTTTTTTATGCAACAACACGTGTTCTGACAGCCAAACTAATATAATCATTTTTTGGAAGGAGAATGATCAAATTAAGCATACTACTGTTCATTTCCTTTTGAATGACACATCTTAGATTGGCCGTAAACTAATATAATCTTGTGCTGTTTATTAGGGTTATTTGCATTATACCCCTTTAATTATGGGTACTTGCGAAACTATCCCCAGAATTTTTAGTATTTGCAAAACTAACACTTAAATTATCAGTTTCGAAAAAAAAAATACCTCTAGATCAATGAATCTAGATCAATGAATCGTTGACTTTGACGGGCTAATTGTAAGCGCAATATAAAACCTATCAACAAAATAGTCAAAATTTTACTTGTCGAGCTGATAATTTGTCAATTTTAGGTGTATTATCCCCCCCCCCCCCAAAAAAAAAAAAAAAAAAAAAAAAACACCTTTACCCCCCCCCCCCCCAAAAAAAAAAAAAAAAAAAAAATTGATGGTTCATGGGATAGTTTTACAAATACTAAGATTTGAGGGGTGGTTTCGACAATACCCGTGATCTAAGGTGTATATGCGCAAATAACCCTTCCCTCTAACTTGGTTCCTGAAGGGCTCCGCTTGATTGGCTGTGACACCAGCACACACGCACAAATTGGTTGGTCGGTCAAAGCTGCCCGCATGCGTTCAAACCTAACCGGTTGCTTTCGAAGGATCCACCGTTACAAAGTTTGCCCCACTTTCCGTCTCTAAAATCACGCTCTTTCTCTCCGGCCCCCGCCCTCTAAAATTATGTGCAATAAGGTTAAAGAGGGGACAAGAATGCAAGGGCTTTTGAGGACAATGCCATGATAGAGGCACTGGAAGACAATACTCGACCACATGATTTCAGTTATGCTGTCGACGGGCTACCGTGCGCGAGTAGGCAACATCTCCGAACTGTGATCAGAGATTTCGAGGGCGCATAAAGTTTCTTCTTAAAATTTAAAGTACAATTCGAAAACAAAAATATCGTTTTAAAAAAATTAGCAACTTACGAGCATTGGCGAACCTAAAAGCAATTTCAACTATCCAAGACATTAATTTCAATATATTAAATATTTAAGGGTGTTGATGGTTTAAATCACACGGTTAAAAAAGAGAAGGTAGGTAAGGATTGAGTTGATATGGGGGCCGCTCGATTTTCCAAATATCTGATTTGGAGTTGGACTGCTCGTCCCTGCACGCGTAACAACTCGTAAGAGGAAGAGGACTGGTTCCCCCGTTGTTCCTCCAACGATCAAGTCAGCTAGGTGCTTGAGTGAGAATATGAGAAAAATGCAGCGGAATGGAGAAAGATTTCTGAGAATTTGCTTACCCTTGTATTTGGAATAATTTTTCTTTTTATAGTCAAGCAAGAGGGGTAGTCTAGTATTTTTGGCCGAGCCTTAGCTGGCGGTTGAGTCAGCATCTATTTTACATGTGTCGATCGTGGATCGGCTGCGTGATGAGCGCTATCATTTCGACATTAATGAGATGCGATGGGAGGCGCAGAAGCCGGCTTGGTCCGATGTGTCATGAATGGTGTAGGGGATGGAGAAATGATGGCGTCTGTCAATCATTTGATGTGACGCCGACGCGCTGTCAACGGGGGAGGTTCGAGGTTAAAATCGTCTTTTGGCTTGTAACGAGGGGTGTCAAGAAGTAACGTCTTTCGAGTCGACCATGCGAGGTGTCGAATAACTGGTCGAGTGGGCTCGTAACGAGTCGTCTTCGACAAGAGGACCGACAAGTATCGCTATTCGAGTCAACCTAAGGAGATGCCGACTCCGCGAGTCGGCTAAGTCGGGATTCTTGGTTGTCCTGACCGTCAATTCGATTTGAGCGGTGCATGTAGGGGGACACCTGTCCGTTACTGACAAAGAACCATACTTTGACGACTGAAAACACAAGGGCATAACATACAACCTTAAAGAAATATAAATTCATGATATGAGGCTTTATCGTTTAATGTGGGTCCATACTGGCTAAAGTATTTGTGTTTCTACAAGCCAAAATATTTTTCAATTTTCATGAAAATTGTGTACTAACCAAGTGGCAACAACCGGCAAGAGTGCCCGTTAACCAATCTATCTCTACTAAATGTGCATAAAGTTCGGACATGCCCACGGAAAGGTCCAAAGACAATGATTGGGGTTTGTTGAGCGTCCAAGCGTCACAATGATCCACAATAATCACAACTATGCTCGTAGACTGCACATGAATCACGTAGGCTCAGATGACGATGCAATAGGGCATGTTCGTCTGGGTTAACGGGTTAACCGTAGTTTATTTCAAGCTCTAAAAATACCCAAGGTCGCAAAAAGGTTAAATTAACGGCTAATCATTAGAGTCTCGTTTAAGCTTACAGCTCTAGGACTCACCGGATTCCGCCTGACCGGGATGGTCATTTTAAGGCGAACTCCGATGAAACAAAACTCGCTGATATTGGAAAAAGCCACAGCGGACTTTGTCATTGGAAGTGATATGGGTAGGGGTGTGCACGGTTCGGTTCGGGTCGGTTTTTACCAAAATTTGAACAACCGAACCGAACCGCCTAATATTCAAAACCGAACCGAACCGTTACAAGTCGGTTCGGTGCGGTTCGGTTCGGTTTGTTCGGTTTTTATACTCTACAGTTAAATTTATGTGAAATATACAAAGAAAAAAAAATCTTACCTCTGAAAGTATCAACATATCATTCTCTGATACTTCTGCTGCCAAAATGGAAGGCCTTCGCACCACAGTCGTCTCGGAGTACTGCAGAGCTCAGAAGTATACAATAATAAGTTAACGAAGCAACACAAATCTATATAGCCCAATCTCACCGAAAGTAAAAGAAAATCACATAACTGAAACGAGCAATACTTTGTGGAAAGCATGAGAAGCATATGATAAGCTAAAAACCAAGTAGAAGTATGTTCTCTTATCTATCCATGATTGAGTATACCTTCTGCAAGGAGGACAGACGGTCCACTGTCAATGCATCAGCTTGCACAACTCCACAATCCAGCACGTCCTGTCACCTGCAACTACCATTAAAATATCAACAAAGAAATTGACAGTTTCTCAAAAAAAAAGGAGGCTACTCTCTATATTTCACCTTGCTAATGTGGAGGTTGGGAGACTGAATCTCGCTAGTAAAACCAAAGTCCGGAGCACCCGTAACAACATGAACTTCATGCCCAGCTACAATTAAAATGTCGCACAACCTACATCAAAACCATGGATCCCAATTGAACTCAAGCGTTGAAAATCTTATCAAATAAAACCATGGATCAAAATTTTGCATTTTCTGACCCCATAATTAACACAAAGCCCCTAACTTTCTTTTTTCTTCATTCCACTAAACAAGCATACAGCTTAATCTTGAGCTAGCCATCTGCTCTCTACTCTTTAACTAAACTGCTAGTCTACTGATTCCGAGTTTTAAAGATGCAATAATTTTCCAAACCAGAGATCTCCAAAAATGGAAGGGGGGAAACCAAAATTGTCCATCTGAGCAAAAAAGCAAATACTTCATTTCAAAACAAAACAAAAAAAAAAAGAAAAAAAAGAAAAAAAGAGGATCATGGGATCTCGATCGCCAGCTTCGTCTTCTCGATCGCCATTTCTCTAAGGAGGCGGAGTTCCGAGCGGCTAGCGGCTGAGGAGTGACGAGTGAGAGAGAGTGAGAGAGTGGACTGAGGAAGTGAGAGAGGCGGACAGAGAGTGAGAGAGTGGCGGCTGGGAAATGAGAATGGGATTTTAGGGATTGAGGGCGTGAGACTGAGTTTGAGGGAGGGGTCACGGGTCGGGTTGAGGGTTAATGCCAATGGGTACTGGGTATTCGGTCGGTTCGGGCGGTTCGGGTTGAAAAATTTTCAACCCGACCCGAACCGTCTCATTCATAAAACCGATTTTTTTGGATCGGTTCGGGTCGGTTCGGTCGGTTCGGTCGGTTTGGACCGAACCATGCTCAGCCCTAGATATGGGCAAGGTGATGGTGTCTGTAACAAGACCACCCCCTTGAGTGAAGATCCTCTAATTGTTGAATTTTTGAGTTTGAGTTAAGAGCTTGGAATTCTAAGTATCAACCTAGTCTTCCATTCTCCTTCCTAATGTACATCCGGCAACTTTCACACGAAACAACATTAAATTCCACTAGTAAGCACCCATCAAATGGATGATATGCCAACACGTTCCTTAACAAATTCCTTCACAGGATCGTAGCAGAGCAAATAGTTTGAATCAGATGCGACTAAACAAGATCAATGATCAAAAGCATACTTCAAAGCATGGCAAAATCCTAAAGCTATCGTCAGATTCTAGTATCAATGTGACAACTTGCGCGATGCGAAACTTCATACCTGAAATAGGCCAAGGTTCATCGCTAGAATTGATGGTCAGGTTTCAGGTTTTATGGGCAACACTGTCGACCGTGTGCAAAGTGAAATGTTGAAGTCCTTGCTATTAGGAACATAATCCAGTAGCTCTTCTTTTTATCTGGAATGAAAATAATACTGAAGTTCAAGTCCAAAGGGCATAGTCTGAAGTGATTCTTCGCAAGGATTCAACTTAGAAGAATGAAGAACCCTTAAATAGTTCAAATTTAAAACATAAGTCTGACAATTTCTCAATTCTGCGTGTCATATATTTCCTTGGTTGAGTATGTAGAAAATAGATGATAGATGCAGTACCAATTATCATAAAACTCATTCTAGAAAGTATCACGCAAATCCCAACCAGCAAAAAGAACATGAAGTAGGCCAACTTCCAAGTCATTTCCAATGTTTTAAACAAGCACACTGTGAAGCACTCTTCCCTGCGCTTCAAAGCATAGCAATGACAATTCAATATAGCCTACAGGGGAAAGCTCGAAACTGTAAGGCTTATGCTATTTGGTATGAAGTTCTACTTTGCGCTTTGTGCATCGGAATATTCACTTTATTAAGCTTTTCCTACCTCTAATTTTGCTCTACATCTTCAAAAGATGAAGAGTTGAGAACCTTGAAAAATTGGGACAAAACCAGCTCCTAATACATTTGTTAATTTTCATCTTTTATTTATGCTCCGTCTTCAATCTTTCTATTAAAGGTTACACCCTGTTTTCCAATCACTGGCAAGAATCATGACCTGAAGTTCTTTGCAGATACTGCTTACTCTTTTTTTATTTTTTTGAAACTGAAAAACAAGGTGAGGTTACATGTTCATATATATATATACATATATAGAAAAGCCAAAGTGAAAATGTACAAGATCTAACAAAATAGGGAAGGGACGGAACCAAAAGAAGATGTAGCCGGTAGGGAGCGGACCTTGTCGTCATCATCCAAGCTACATCTGCCTTATTTCCATCCTTCCAGGGATCAAAGTCATGGAAGGTTATAGAAGAGTCTGCTGATAATGTTAAGACAACACAAGTAATTACAATACACTATACTAGATACTTCAAAAGGAGAGTGAGTGAATCCTGCTTAGAAGTTGTCTGCTGCGGTCTCCCGCCCCATCTTTGGCCAGCTCCTTTAGACCGAGATCAATGGTAGCCTTGTGAAGAGAAGAGGCCCTTCTACTACTAGATGCTCCTGTCCAGAACAGGGTAAAACGAGCAACATTAGAGGCTATATTGTGATGTGAAATATGGACATCGTTGAATATGATGTTGTTTCTACTATTCCAAATCCACCAGCAGCAGCAAGGGAGGAGAACCCTCCAGAGGGCTCTAAGCTTCAAATTAGCCAAGAGATTGGGCTTGGCAGAGATAAGATGGTCCACTTCCTGAGGCCAGTTCCAATCTTCTCGTATGAGATGAGGATTGTCCAAACGTTTCTAGTGAAAGAGCAGTTATTAAAGAGATGATTATGAGAATCAGTTTCAGTGCTGCACAGAGAGCATATGGGGTCTCTTGTCCATCCTTTCTTAGATAGGTTATCCTTAGTATTAAGTTTATGATAACTCAAAATCCATAAAAAAAACCTTTACTTTGAGAGGGACAGGAGATTTTCAGATAAAATTGGAAAGATGGTAGGTGGTACCTCCGAAGTTGAGAATATTATAGAACGACTTGACTGAGAACTCGCCTGATGAGAGTTGAGGCCATGTTATACCATCTTGGACTGATACATCTGGTGGCTTGGTTGACTCAAGGAGAAGGTAGAGCTTGGTGATATCAGATCTCTCCTCTGCTGCGGATCCTCTTCTGAGAATTGAGTGTCATTTCCAGGTGTTATGGATGAATAAACCTTGAGAATATGTAGAAGTATTGCTGGAGAATGCTAATTTGTACACTCTAGTGACCATTCGGCTTCCCTCCCTCTTAAAATAAAACTCATCAGGAGAAGGATCAAATGGTGGAAAAGACACGTTCTTCAATCTAACTCTCAGCTTGCATCCAAGGCCCTGAATGATCTTGACCATCTCAACTATTTAGAAGAATCTAGATCCCTTTCTGATTATGAACTCCAATCCAGAGTTAACCTTAGAGAGCTCCTTTTTTCTCTGGCCAAAGCTGATGAGATTAAATGGAAATAGAGATTTAGGATCCAATGGTTAAAGAAGGAGATAACAACACGGCTTCTTTCCACAGAATTGCTTCCCACCGTAGGAGGATCAATTTCATTCCCTACCTTACCATCAATAACACCATTCTCTCCTCTGGGTCAGACGTCAAACAGGCATTCTATGACTATTTCTCCAATCTTTTCCAAGCTCAACCAGCCTCTAGATTCAATATCAATTGGAACCATTTTTATCCCCCCTCTCATGTGGACCTTTCTACCTTGGACTCACCCTTCTCAGTAGACGAAATCAAGCAGGTAGTTTTTAACCTGCACCCAGACAAATCCCCAAGGCCTGATGGTCTCCCTATTCATTTCTTTCAAAAATTCTGACATGTCATTTATCAAGATGTTATATCCTTTATCCAGTCATTACACTCTGACGCAAAACCTCTTCATAACATCAACTACTCTTATATCTGTCTCATTCCTAAGAAGGAAGGGGCCAGCTCTCCAGCTGAATTCAGACCCATTAGCCAGATCAATAGTTCAGTCAAGATCTTCACCAAAATCTTAACTAATAAGCAAATCTTTGGTAGACAGATCTCAGTCCGCTTTTCAAAGTGGCAAATCTTCTCTTGACTCAATCCTCCTGGCTCATGAGATGATCAACCGTTGCTCTTCTGGAAAAAAAAGAACTGTGTACCATAAAAGTGGATTTTTTCAAAGCTTTCGACTGTGTTCATTGTGACTTCCTTCTCTCCCTTCTTAAAGCCGGAGGGTTTAGCCCCAGGTAGTGCATCTGGATATCCCACATCCTCTCTTCAGCAAAATCTGCAGTCATTGTAAATGGTTCTCCCACCGCCTATTTCAAATGCCATCGAGGTCTAAAACAGGGTGACCCCTTCTCTCCTTTGCTCTTCCTGTTGATTGTGGATGTCCTAAACAAGATGATATCTGCTAGTATTCAGTCAAGAGACCTTTCTAATCTTAACCTTAAAGGAGAGCTAAATTCTATAAGAACCCTTCAATTTACAGACGACACTCTCATTTTCTATAAAGCTAATCATAATGACATCATTACCCTTAAAACCATCTTGTTCATTTTTGGCAACATCTCAGGTCTCAATGTTAATCACTCCAAGTCATGTCTATTCTACCTGGGCAAAGTCCCAAGTAGGGGAATTCATCTGGCAAACAAGCTTAATTGTTCTATTGGCTCCCTCCCCTTCTCATACCTTGGTATTCCTCTCAAAAAAGTACCCTCACAAGACAGGAGTGACAACCCCTTCTAGATTCTTTTTCTAAGAAGTTAGCTTTGTGGAAAAACAAGTCTCTGTCTATTGGTGGAAGACTTACTCTCATAAACTCTGTTCTATACTCTCTCCCTTTATATTACATGTCATTTTATAACTTTCAAGTTAGCTCATCAAAGCTATTGATAAAATCAGAAGAAATTTCCTTTGAGGTAGCTACCAGCAGTCCTCTAAACCTAAATGTCTGTTTAGCTGAGGTAGAGTTTGTAAAGCTAAGAGTGAAGGAGGTTTAGTAGTCATTAACTTGTAACCATTCAACCTTGCTCTGCTTTCTACATGGATTTGAAAAATCCCTGATAGTAAGTCTTATATCAACAAAGTCATCTTCTCCATTTACTTTGTAAACGCCTCCAACCCTATATTTAATCCTCCAAAAGTTTCGGCATCTAATCTGATTAAAGACTTGCACTCAATTCAAGACCCTTTCCTTAGCCAGGTTCGCTGGACTTTCAGAGCTGGTAACACCTGTAGATTTTGGCAGGACAAATGGATGCTGCTTACTCTTACTTCGCAGATTTATATATAGATGATACCCAAAGCATTAGTTATATGCCTAGAACGGTTAGCATTGATTTCATAGCTATTCCTAACGAAACGCTAAACAAAAGCACAGTTATAATACAAGGGTTTGAGGACCAAGACATACTTGAAAAGTCAGAAGAGCAACCCCATAGTGAGAGGAAAATTCGCCAAACTGTGTGCGCTCTAATTTCTGCATAACAACATGGATATGAGCACAGACTTATAGTTAAAATGTACCTCCTCATTGAGTATTAACATGTCAATATGATTTGTAAAGGCCCATCAATGGCTTCTCCCTCTCTTCCATTCTCTTCTTTGCAGCTTCTCTAGCCTTGAGAGCCTCAGCTTCCTCCTTTGATATGACCTTGGTCTTCTCATTCACCCTTTTTCTCTTGTTAACAGCAATTGATGATGGAGCAGCACCGTTAGCAGTTCTTGTGGTGTTTAGAGAGGTGGAGATGACCAAACCAGGAGCCTGGCCACCTTTGGCTTTAGAAGCAGATCCTTCGCCTTTTGATACGGACGAAGAGCCTGTATCTGGTCTTGAAACCTTAGAAGTTTTGAATGCCTCTCCTTCTGTAACCCATTTGCCTAATTTGGGACAAAAATTGAATTATGGTATAAGACGCATGACCAAGAAAATCTGCACAAAAATATATTCAAAGAAAGGGAAAGGTTACTAAACAACTAATGAACAAGTTTAACTCCAAAGTTCAATACCTAAATCGCTGGAATAAAATAGGCCAGAGTTAGGGTCATAGTGATATCCTTTAGACAGGTTGTAATAATATCCAGAAGCAGCATCATATTCCCAACCTGCACAAAGAAAATAGATGTGAGCTTCTTCAAGATCAACTAGCAAAAATTATAACTAGCCC